TATATATATATATATATATATATATATATATATATATATAATATAATATATATATATATATATATAAAGGATCATTCAAATTCAAGATGGGATATGCCATCAAGACTGTAGAAGAAAGTTTGTCAGTCACTCAAATTCAAGAAGACTTTCACCTACTGTCAAATAAAATCATTGAAAAAAGATCAAACTATTTTATTCCAAACAAATATGGAAAAATCAAATATGATTGTTCCCAAAACAATAAAATGGTCAGATATCAGACTACCACAGTCATGGGCATTACAACATGCCAATCAACCTCAAGAGGTTCCTCAACACCATATTTCTAATCAAATCATAGAACATCCTGATGGTAATATTGAAATTAAATTTCAACAATTACAAGTTCAAGATGATTTTAATATAAACAGAAAAAAGAATAGTAAGAATAAAATACCAAGCAGAAAATCTTACTCTGCTGACCCAAATGTGATAATACTACCACCTCCTACTCAGTCTTCTTCAATACCTAGTTCAGACCTACAATTCCAAGGAATACGGAGAACAACAGATCATGTTGTTATTCCCACATATACTCCTGAATCTAGTACTACAAATACTACTGAACCCAGTATAGAAGAATTACAAGACTTTCACGTATTAACTTTACAAATAGAAAAATACGACAATTCACATGATAAATATTCAGATGAATATATAGCAGCTTACTTAGCCGCTAAATTAGAAAGAAAAAAGAAAAAAATTGATCACAATTATATTAAGCAAGATTTTATGTCTAATGAAAATAGACGTATCAGACAATGGTATCTTACAAATGTACCATTATAGTTAAGAGAAAAATTACAAACTAAATATAATCAATTCCTTAAAAAAAAAAGGGAAACAGAAGGATATTTTGTATGGTTAATAAGTAATTATCAACATAAACTTCATATTCCTTCCTCCTTTGATGAGATTCAAACAATAGAAGCAAAAACCTATATAAGCACTGATGGTACTACCACCGCTAGTACACATCCACCTGAAAAAAGTATTATACTTAAAACAAAAGTCCCTGTGAACGATGAGCCTAGTCAACCTCCATCCTTATATGATATAATAGCTACTCCCTATAAAATCTTACCTAAAGAACTTGGTAAGAAACAAGAGTTAATACCTCATATTGTGGAACAAAATAATTATACCAATTTGTATATGCAATCTTTAGGAAAACAAGCAGAAAGGATTGAAAGACTTGTTTCCAAAGAGCAACCTTCTGCTACAACTATACCCAAATCAGTTTTGTTCAAACCACCTCCAGAACTGAATAAGAATAAATTTTATATTGGAGACAATAATAAATCCCTTATGGATCAATTGATATCAAAATTATCCCAACTAGATATCAAGGGAATTCCTTCTCCAACAATAACTATTCCTCCTTCACCTATTGTCAATATACCACCTGAATCCTCCGATAAAGGTAAAGCAAAAATACCTGAACATGAAACAATGATGCTTCAAGAGGAAGAACCAATCATAGAAGATACAATTCAAAATCAAGAAAAAGCATTTATGGATACTACT